TTTAATTGTTCCAATCCTGAAAGACTGATAACTTCAACCTTCTTAAGAAAATGATCCATGAAAAGGAAAGAACTGTGGAAGACTTGAGAAGTCAGATAACTATGGTAGGTAACTATCACCCAGCTAATAGTCATTAAATCACTGCCTCCCTGAAAAGGCAGTAATTAATAGCCCTATGGCATTTAGTGATAACAGAGGTCAAACTGCACATGAACTTGCTTGTGTAATAAAGAGAGCAATTTGTGCAAAATCAGCAACCAACAGGCAGTTATGGATGTCAACTTGATGTTCCATGTTGCAAACCTACACTGAAAGACCATTCCATTCCAGTACTTTTCAGATCTAGAAAAATCTGGGCAAACTCAAGGCTAGCACAGGTTTACCTACACTCACTAGGTCTGACTGGATCAAACACAAAATCCATCAGCAACTATTCTCCAGCTTGTTTCTTCTTAGGCAGGGTGCTGATGTCTTGAACACAAGGTTCAGCTAAGTGACAGTCAAGAGAATGGGTAGAAATCCACTCTTCACCTTATACATGTTTCTGGTTGATTTCTCTGTTATCTGGACTGGTTGGAAGGAAGAATGAGTCACTGAGAAGCTTGTCTTCCAGAAGTAAGACTTCATTCAATGGATAATCTGCTCGAAAAGCAAAAGAGCATTTGATCTCGTTTCAGTACTGGCAGAAAGAAATAAGGACAGAAACTCATGGGAATGATGATACTCACATATGAGAGATTGTTCTTAAAAGCTGTAACATGGGTATCACTGGCAAAAAGAAGTAAGCCCTACCTCAAATGCAAAGGGTTGGATCTGTTGTCACACAAAGGAACGTGACAGAGTCATCACATTTACAGACCTTTTCTAATGCACCTTGATGTCATCACTGGGTGGCAAAGCGTGGTAACATGAGCTACTTTCAAAGCATGCAAAATGGAAGGCAAACACCAGATACCGTTTCCTTCCAGACTGAGAAACCTTGGTATACATCGTTACTGCAACATAAGATCTGTGCAGTTCAAAAACTTCCTAGAGGGACACACTCCAAAAGCACAAACAGTCTGGAGGAGGCAAGGTCTATAAATCACTGCCAGTCAACTTAGAAAAAATGTTGTCATTGCTCCTCTGTGGAGGAGTAAAATGATAAAAGAAATTTCTTTTATGTATGGATGGCTGAACCATAATGCTATTTTAACATCATTTTCTTGTAACCCATCTCCACACAACTATTTAAACATTTGTTATAAAGTATGTATGGGGTGACTCACCCACTGAAGAATAAGCCTAATTGGTCAAACTTCCAGGACACTGTGTGCTGAGCTACAGAGAATCATAATCTCATCTATTAGGAGATGTGACAAGTTGCAGAAGCTATCTAAAATTCCTGGAAGAGGTAGTGTGAAATAAGATCTGTTGCCTAGGGACAGTCTCTTCTTTACGATAATTAAAGAGCTCAGATCTGTGCTATTCTGGATGGATGAAAAATATGCATGCATAAGCTTAAATTCTGGCTTTGACTTGTTCATGCGAGAAAGTTGTCTAATAATTCATTAGCCTCTTCAATAAAAGATACCTAAAAGGCAGAACAAAGGGCATCTGTGGATTTGACTGCCATGTTCATATGGTCCCAAAATTTCCCCCAGAGATCCTGCTCTTCTGTATAATGCAGCTGCATGACTCAGAAAAACAACACAAGGACTTGGGAAGAGTTTCCTTCTTCCCTGAGAACACTCCCACACCAAGTCACCAGAAGTAGAGAGAAAAGAAAAGCAATTCATAGCCTGAAACAGAAATGTTAAAAACCTTTCCAGCAAGATTATTAGTGAGTGGGGAGCACAGTCATCAAGACGGAGTCCAGCAGCATTTGTCCACACACACTCATTAATGATATTCACTTTGCTATGTTTCTCTTTGAATTGATGATAATTCTAACATTTGGGTGAAAAATAAAGACATCTCACTTTCTGTTCTCCAGTGGCTATTTCTCTGCATCCTCTTACT